ATGGGGGCTGGTACTGTGATGCATAAGTTTAAGCCTCTGCCTGCAGTGTCAGCATCCCAAATGGGCGCCAGTTTGAGTTCTAGCTGCTCCAGTTCTGATCCAGCTCCCTGCTAATGCACCAGGGAAGGCAGCAGAAGACAGTCCAACTCTTTGGGTCCTTCCACCTACGTGGGAGACCAGAAGCAGCTCCTGGTTTCTGGTTTCAGCATAGTGCAGCTCTGGCCGTTGCAGCCAGTTGGGGAGTGAATCAGCAGATCGAAGATCTCTCTCTTTCTCTCTCTCCCCTTTTCTCTCTGTATCTCTGCCTTTCAAATCAATCAATCAATTAATCAATCTTTAAAAAACAAGATACCTGGAATTTTTAAAAAAGCTATTATAAAACTGTATATAAACAGCAGAGAAGATTATACTATTTTCTTTAATAGTAACATTATGAAAAATAAGTTATAACATTTTCATCCTGTACAATAGATAGTTTGAGTATCACCATTTTCCCCACTTTGCCCAGCAAAAGGGCCAGTCACCTGGTGCTAAGGCTGCTGGGAAGTGTAATCCAAACAACGATTAGGGCCTGCTCAGAGTCCCAGGAGCCCCACATCCACCTACCAGATCTGCTTGAACCTTATAAATCTAGCAATTAAGACCACTGCAGGGTTGTTCCCACTTGGTTCTGTAATTTTCTGGGTAAGGACCCAGAATACTTTGCAGAGCTATGGAGGGTCCATAGCTGTTCATTCCCTCTCTTCCCTCTATGGCCCTCAGCAGGATGAGGTGATGAGATTGTGATTATGACATTGGTTAAGAGGTTCAGTTGCTTGCAAGGGGAATGGGGACAGGGGAGTACAGTGGTTATAACTGCTCCACTTTCCTTAATCCAGAAAGGAAAGAAGGAAACAGGAGATGGGGAAAAGATGTTGAAGGGAGGTGTCCATCAGTCTCGCCACCTCAAGCAGAGTTTAAATCTTTTTAAAAATAAACTGAATATACACATTTATAAGTTGTTAGATGATTTCTAACTCCTTGGCAAATCTGAGTTTCAGTATCAAAGATGGTTCAGAGAGGGATGGGCATTTGGCACAGCACTTAAGCTATTGCTTGGGGCACCTGTATCCCTAATGGAGTGCCCCAGTCCAAGCTGTTTCCGATGTAGCCTTCTGCCAAGGTGCACTGGCATAAAGGATATTTTAGAACAAAGTCCAACGTGTGCAGTGATTAGGGGGAACTGGCAGGAAAGATACAATATAAAGGAAAACACCTACATAGACAACAGATGAATACACAGCTATGTGAAAAAGCATATGTAGGCATATGTATGGGGCATATGTAGGTTCACTGTAAAATTCAATTTTTTATATGTTAAGATTTTGCACAACAACATATTGGCCAAAATAGGAAAAAGAAAAAAACAATGACAGAGCTTGGAAAGTATATAGGGAAAGACTAGAAGAAAGAAGGCAACACGATTACCAGGATTCCAGCCCAAATGTTTATGAGGATGGTATCTTTAACAGAAAGAAGGCGGCATGGTGTTAGGAGAAAGATGGCAAATTTAGTTTTAAACATATTTATCTGGGGACTAGAGTTGTTTAACAGGTTAGGTCACCACTTGTAATACCGACATCCTATAGGGGAGTGCCTGTTCAAAGTCCAGCTGCTCTGCTTCCCATTCAGCTTGTTGGTATTGTGCCCAGGAAAGCAACAGAAGACGGTCACATGGAAGACTGGGATGGAATTCCTGGCTCCTCGCTTCAGCCTAGGCCAGCCCTGGCTGTTTAGACATTTGGGGAGGGAATCAGCAGCGGATAGAAGATTTCCCCCTCTCTCTCTCTCTCTCTCTCTCTCTGTTACTTTCTGCCCTTCAAATAAAAAAATAATAAATCTTTAAAAGAAAATATATTTATCTGAAGTGCTAGTAGTGTGGGGAGCAATTCGGACTAAGACTGTTACTGGAATTAAGACTTATTCTATGCATCTGCTCTCCCACAATATGGCGCTGAGAAGGGAGTAACAGCTTCTACGCAGCTGCCTCCAGTTCAACCAAGAAACTGTAGGACCTGCTCCTGATTGGAGGAGAGCAGCGTACTCGGCGTGTGGGTAGCAGAGTTGGGATTGGTGGAAGAGGACTATAAAGGAGGAGAGAGACGGCATGCACCGGGAACATCTAAGGGGAACATCTGAAGGAACACCTGTGCAGCCCCCGAGAGAACCGGCCGGCGGTGTGCCGCTCCCCTGCGGAAGTGGGGAATGTGGCCAGGGGGAACTGCCCTTCCACGGAGGTGGAAGGGATAATAGCCAACCCGGGAAGAACCAGCAGCAAACCCGGGGAGGGCCGAGCAGACGAAAGAACAGTGCAGGGTCCTGTGTCGTTCCTCCACGAAGAGGGGGAGCGACATAATGGTGCCGTGACTCGGATATGAAGCCTAGGCAGGATCCTGTGTCATTCCTCCATGAAGAGGGGGAGTGACAAGTAGGATAATTCAAAAACAAAAGTTCAAAAGCAACAGAAAACCCAGATCACAATTCAGAACAGAAGACAATACTAATGACTCAGATAAGAGGGTTTGCTACAGGAATTATTTTTGTGTGTGGAGTGAAATAAAGTTGATGTTCATTTTTCCATAGGAATATACCATTTGTTCCAGATACCCTCCTTTCTTCATTGAATTAACTGATTTGATCCCTTGGTTGAAAATTAAGTGGCCAGATGTGTGTGCTTCTAACTGTAGACTATCTATTCTGTTTCACTGACCTATTAGTCCATCATTATGCCAATACTATACTGTCTTGATTAATGTAGCTTTATAATAAGTTTTTACATCTGGTACCTATGTACTCTAACTTCACCTTCAAAATGTTTTCTCTTTTTCAAGAAGATTTATTCATTTCAAAGTCACAGCAACAGAGAGACAGAGAGATATCTTGCATCTGCTAATTCACCTCCCAATGGCCACAACAACCAACATTGCGCCAGGCCACAGTCAGGAACCAAGAACTCCATCCTGGTCTTCTACACGGGTGGGAGGGGCCCAAATATTTGGTCATTTTCTGCCACCTTTCCAGGCACATGAATCAGATACTGGATCGGAAGTGGAGTAGCTGAGACTTGAACTGGCACTCTGATGTGCAAGTGGCAGCTTAACCTACTGTACCACAATGGTGGCTTCCAACTTTGTCTTGCAAAACTTTGTTGGTCTAGGCCGGCACCATGGCTCACTAGGCTAATCCTCCGCCTTGCGGCGCCGGCACACCGGGTTCTAGTCCCAGTCGGGGCGCTGGATTCTGTCCCGGTTGCCCCTCTTCCAGGCCAGCTCTCTGCTGTGGCCCGGGAGTGCAGTGGAGGATGGCCCAACTGCTTGGGCCCTGCACCCCATGGGAGACCAGGAGAAGCACCTGGCTCCTGCCATCGGATCAGTGCAGTGCGCCGGCCACAGCGCGCTGGCTGCGGCGGCCGTTGGAGGGTGAACCAATGGAAAAGGAAGACCTTTCTCTCCGTCTCTCTCTCTCTCACTGTCCACTCTGCCTGTCAAAAAAAAAAAAAAAACAAAAAAAACAAAACAAACAAACAAACAAACAAAAAAACCCAAAACTTTGTTGGTCTAACTACAGCCTTTACATTTCTACATATATATTTTAGGATCAGCTTGTCAACTTTTTCAAAACAGTTGTTAGACCTGCGCCACGGCTCACTAGGCTAATCCTCTGCCTGCGGCAACAGCACTCCGGGTTCTAGTCCCGGCTGGGGCGCCGGTCCTGTCCCAGTAGCTCCTCTTCCAGTCCCGCTCTCTGCTGTGGCCTGGGAAGGCAGTGGAGGATGGCCCAAGTGCTTGGGCCCTACACCCGCATGGGAGACCAGGAGGAAGCACCTGGCTCCTGGCTTTTGATCGGCGCAGCACACCAGCTGTAGCAGCCATTTGGAGGGTGAACCAACAGAAGGAAGTCCTTTCTCTCTTTCTCTCACTGTCTAACTCTGCCTGTCTAAAAAAAAAAAAAAAAAGTTGTTGAGGACTTTGACTTGGATTACATTGAATCCAGTTATCAACTGAGGGTAAATGAAATCTTTAATAATATTATGTCATTCAATCTATCTACACAGTATATTTCATTAATTATTTAGGTCTTAACTCTTTTCAATGATGTTTTGTAATGTTCAGTGCTGAGGATTTTCACATATTTAGACTTTATCCAAGGTATCCAATTTTTTTTAAATGTCATTGTAAAGAATTTTAAACAATTCCATTTTTCAATTTTTCTAGAGAAATTCTTAATATTACAATCATGCTGGACAAAAAATATGAAAATACTCTTTAATTTTTAATAGATTAAAATTCAAAACAAAGAAGATTAATAATTTTTTACTGATATAAAATGAATGCAAATTTTATTCATTTGTATTCTGTTCTCAAGAAGATGTAGCAAACAATTTTGGATGCCATAAACTATACTTATTTGTAAAACTATACTATTATATAAATCTATAATATGTAAGAAAGATACGTATTATTATCTGATGATTCTTGCAGAAATAATTTTCCCACTAGGTAGTATAAATTGTATGTATCTTAAGGGCATGTTAAATATTTTTGAGTTCCTACTGCTGCTCAAATGACTGAGGAGTATTCACAGATACTAGCATATCCATCCAAGTGCATATTATATTAAATATGTTTTTGAAGTTTCAACAGACATAAGGCTACCTTGCAGCTGCGAATGTATCTAATTTATTAAATATTTAAAGTCTTAAAAGTTTGTCTTTAAAATGTATGTCAAAAAAAGAAACTGTACTTATTAAGACATCTTTAAAAAAATTGTAATCCTCAAAAAGAGAGAAATGAAATTAGATATAATGACATAATTACCACAGTCAGTTGATTGTGGTCTTTATCTACTGCTTATGTGCTTACAAACATTCTAGTTTGTTTAGGGTTTTGGAAATTTGATTATCTAATCAAGAGCAAGAAAAGATTAGAGAGCAACAGCATAAAAGGTTTCTGAATCTCTACCTCCATCTTCACAGTCTTCAGGGGCTTTGGCTTTCTTACAAAGTCGAGGATCCAACCAGGTGGTTGTCTTGGTATTGTGGCTGTAGAATACAGATTTCAATTAGGAACAGTAAAATAGTGAGAAATCTTGCAAAAGATTAAAAGTGACAAAAGGTACATGATGTTTGAACACTTATCCTCTACAGGCTCCATTTGTAAATCTCAAATTCAATAATGCTATTGTTCTCACATAGCTACTTAAAACTGCCATAAAGCAAAGGTGATGCTGGAGGCACTAAATTGAGAATGTTAAAGAAGGGATAAAATGACAAATACAGAACAAGAGACACTTTAAACAGTCAAAAATATTTCAAAAGGTGGGCACATAGCCACATACTGTGCATTATGGAGCCAAAAAAAGCTGCACTGAAAATCTTGTTTGCTTTGCAGGCTGATTTCCTCCCTCCCTCCCTTCAAAAAGTCCTATATTTCCTGAGTGTTTCTGATGGTACTGTGCTGGGGGCTGGGGAGATGGGGCAGCAGTTCATATATAGCTTCCTTCTTCACAGGGGCTCTACACAATGAAATAGAATACAACAAAAGTTTTAAAGTGGCTGTTTCTGCAACATACAACTGAAAACAATGGGTATGGCTCAATTCTATGCTACGAAAATGAAGTTCTCATCACCATGGATCACGCAGGAAAAAGGACTAAAAGATCCCATCCTGGCCTGCACCGCAGCTCAACAGGCTAATCCTCTGCCTGCAGCGCCAGTACACTGGGTTCTAGTCCCGGTCGGGGCGCCGGATTCTGTCCCAGTTGCCCCTCTTCCAGGCCAGCTCTCTGCTGTGGCCCGGGAGTGCAGTGGAGGATGGCCCAAGTGCTTGGACCCTGCACCCCATGGGAGACCAGGAGAAGCACCTGGCTCCTGCCTTCGGATCAGCGCGGTGCGCTGGCTGCAGCGTGCCAGCCGCTGCGGCCATTGGAGGGTGAATCAACGGTTAAGGAAGACCTTTCTCTGTCTCTCTCACTGTCCACTCTGCCTGTCAAAAAAAAAAAAAAAAAAAATCCCATCCTTTGCTCCTTCAAAAATTTTATGTATTTGAGAGGCAAGTAGAAGAGAAGATAAACCATTTGATTCCCCTAAAGCCTGCGGCCAGGAGCCAGAAACGCAATCCGGGTCTCACAGGTGAGTGGCAAAAACTCAATTACTTGAGTCACCCCGGGATCTGCATTAACAGGAAGTGGAGTCAGCAGCCAGAGCTGAGGATTGAATGCAGGTACTCCCATGCAGGATACAGATGTCCTAACTGATGTCTGAACCACCAGGCTGAATGTCCCTCCCCTTCAAATAAACTTATATTTTAATTTCATTTTCTATAAATGTTTTGATGTCCCCTCATATTTATAATCAGTAATGCATCACATACGGTAAAAAGATCATCATACATACAAACATGTTTACTCTAGGGGAAGGATGTGGAATTAGGACCATTTGAGGAAACTAATTCAAGTCCCCACCTCTAATTCTCTTCTGTATATATTTATATGTTCTTTGAATGTAATGCCCAGCCCTCAATATTTTAACTTTTATTTAATTGCTAAGTTCTGCAACTTTACTATATTAATATTATACTTCCAATCAAATTAAAGAATCATAGATACATGAGAATACAAAAATTGTTCATAATGAAACTTCCAATAAACTAGTTAGACAAATTATTTTCTTAAGCAACATAAAATTTAGGCCAATCTAATCATATGGTACACAGTATTTCTACAAATTTTAATAGTGCTTTTTGTGAACTTGTATTGATTACTCTGAAGATCAGTAATGTTTCTTCTATATTACATAATTATATTGTTTGAAAATAGCAAAGCCAAGATCCAGGACTGAAAATACTTAGTTTAGATAATAATATGTCCCCTTCCATGATAATAATTCTTAAAATGCTTATGGCCAGCGCTGTGGTGCTGTGGGTTAAGCCTCTGCCTACAACACTGCATCCCATCTGGGTGCTGGTTTTGAGTCCCTGCTGTCCCACTTCCCTGTTAATGCACTTGGGAAAGCAGTGGCAGATTGCACAAGCTTTGGGGCACCTGCTACCCACGTGGGAGACCCAAACAGAGGTTTAGGTTCCTGGCTTTGGCCTGGCCCAGTTCCAGCCATTTGGGGAGCAAACCAGTGTATGGAAGATCTCTCTCTCTCTTTCTCCAACACTGACTTTCAAATACATAAATAAATCTTATTTTAAAAAAATACCACTGAAGAGGCCAGCACTGTGGTGCAATGGGTTAAACTACTGCTTGCAACACTGGGAATCCATATGAGAGTGCTGGTTTCAGTTTGATCTGTTCTGCTTCCAACCCAGCCCAATCTAATTCCCTACCAATATGCCTGGGATACCAGCAGATGGCCCAATTACTTGGGTCCTTGCCCTCCATGTATGAGACCAGGATGGAGTTCCTAGCTCCTGACTTCAGCCTGGCCCAATCCTGGCTGTTACAGCCATCTGGGGAGTGAACCAGTAGATGGAAGAGATCTGTTTCTGTCTTTTCTCTCTCTCTCCCATTCTCTGTCACTCTTTTAAATAAACAAATAAATAAATCTTTTTTAAAAAAAATGCTCACTGTTGGAAAATCTACTTGAAGTTTGGAAAAAAAAGGCAAGACAAAACATCCTGTATTTCTTATCTTTTTTTCAGCATTAATGATGAACCTGTTTTTAATCTTACTTTTACTATACAACACAGGTCAAATATGCTATTGTTTTACCTAAGTCAAATAAAAATAAAACATCATCAAAGAAAATAATCAGATTAAGAATCAGTTGTTATTAAGAATGAAAAATGATTTCATTTTCATTTCATATTAAGTATGAAAAAAAGTAAAAGCCTTTAGAAAGCACATGGCTAAAATGAGGTCAAATGTTCTTTTAGACATCTTCACAGTGAGCACATTTAGAGAGATACAGATACTTGCTTACTCAATGAAGTAGATCATCCCCGTGTCAGTGTAGGCCATTTCCCAGTTTTTGGGCAGTGGTTCCAAATTCTCATCTCTCATCATATAATTTCTAAAGTCCAGAGAGCTATTTGTTTGGTTGTAACTTGGTACCGTCTTCATCCAGTCAGATGACTCTGAATGTCTTTCTTTGTTTTCTGTCAGTGTCCAAAACAGAATGGCAGGGAAAGTATGTAAAGTTATACTTTTCTTCAAATAACCTTCTTCATTTCTAACAAAACACTAAAAACATTTACATGCAGAAAATTTCTTTATCTATTATGTCTACTTTCTGCTATATATTTTGAGAGAGCAAACAGATATATTTAACTTTTTAACTCACTAATCGATTTTAACTCTGCATAGCACCTCTGATGTAGGTCTGGCAAATAAGAGAACCATAATGGAATCAATGTAGTACAAATCCTAACAGCAGCAGGGACTACAGCATCACTCATGCAGTCCTTGTATGCATCAGGCTCTGTTTTAAGCACTTAACATACATTAACTCAATATTCACAGAAACCCTGTGAGAACCTATTAATACTGTTGTTGCTTTACAGATTGAGAAAACAAAGGCACAGAGTTAACTTAGTCAAGGTCACATGGCCATTAGACAGCAATGCCAAGATTTGAATATGTGTGGTCTAGGCTCTTTATCTGCTATAACTAAGCTGCCTCATACACATTTTTTTTTTTTTTTTTTTTGACAGGCAGAGTGGACAGTGAGAGAGAGAGAGACGGAGAGAAAGGTCTTCCTTTGCCGTTGGTTCACCCTCCAATGGCCGCCGCAGCCGGCGCGCTACGGCCGGCGCACCGCACTGATCTGAAGCCAGGAACCAGGTACTTATCCTGGTCTCCCATGGGGTGCAGGGCCCAAGCACTTGGGCCATCCTCCACTGCACTCCCGGGCCACAGCAGAGAGCTGGCCTGGAAGAGGGGCAACTGGGACAGAATCCGGCGCCCCGACCGGGACTAGAACGCGGTGTGCCGGCGCTGCAAGGCGGAGGATTAGCCTAGTGAGCTGCGGCACCGGCCCCCTCATACACATTTAACATAGGCTTTTTGATAACCTTAATTTTTAAACATAACACTCAATAGACTTACTGTTGTTAAATATTATTTTCTGGGATTAAATTTCTTTTAATGTCATAAATCTGTAACATAGGTAAGACTACTAAAATTCAGTTACTGCCTAGGAAATTCACAATTTATGAGCTTATAACTCATGTCTAGAGCTTAAAAGACATTATAAAATATCACTGTAAGAACTCCAAAGTATAGATAATACATTAGAATCAGAATCTGAGAAAAGGCCTTAGGTATCTTCAGGTACCATTGTATACAGTACTTCACCTCCAACAATCCTTTATCTAGTCATCTCCTATAATCTATTAATCCTATTACTTAATACCTTTCACTATTCCCCAGCATCTATTCATGTCCCCACTGCCCTCCTTATCCAACTTAAATTCCATGATCAAAGACTAAAATCAACCCTTAAAAACATTCCTGATTCATTTGTCCCAACCTAACTTCTCATAATTGCCTGGCTAACCCATAACTCTGCTTAAATCCCACTCTCCACCTACTGCATGCTAGAATACACAGTTAAGACAGGCAATGCTAACTAGTTCACTTTAAATTCATGATCACTACTCAAGTGGGCATTTAACGATGCATAGTAACCAAACATGTTTTGATCCATTTACTTTGACACTCTGCAGATAACAAATCATACCTTATTTCTCCTTTAATCACCCAAATAGTTCCCTCTTATCCATAAGAGATATGTTCCAAGACTACCAGTGGATGCCTGAATCTGGGATAATACCAAATCCTATATACATATTACTTTGTTCTTTCCTATGTATACAAGCCTATGACAAAGTCTAAACTCGGCAAATAACACATTAGTAGCAATAGACATTAGTGAAACAGCACAATTATAACAATATACTATAATAAAAGCAACGTGAATGTGGTCACATTCTCTTATCTTATTATACAGTAATATCTTCAGAATATGGTTGATAGTGGATAACTGAAGTCTCAGAAAGAAGCCATGGATAAGGGAGAACTACTGTACTGCTTTTCTTTTTATCCCTAATCTCATTTGATGGCCTTGTTTCCTATTTCACAGGGAAAACAGATGCAGCAAAAGAGAACTTTCACAAACTCCCACCTTCTCAACTGCACAATAATTCTGCCCATTCACTCACCATCTGTTAGGTGAACTGTCTGTATTCCTAGCTAAAGCTAACCCTCCAATTATGAATTATATCCACTCCCCCTCTTGTCTAGAGCAGTTCTCTCACTCTCCTTCCTGTACCATCACTATTCCCTATCTATTACATCAGAACCATCCACAAAAAGCAATTCAGTTTTCCTTCTGGCAACCATCCCATTTCTTTCCTCTTTTCACCAAAGCACCTTGGAAAGACTTTATACTTTCAACTTCTACTTCTATTCTTCTAATTCTCTCTGTGTCTCACTCCATTCAAGCTTTGGAACTGCTGTCAATTAAACTATTCTTGTCAAGGTCATCAATAACCAGCACTTTGCTAAACCCAATGCTCAGGTCTCAGTTTCCATCTTATTTGCGCTATCAACACCACCTGACGTGGTGGGTCACTTTATTCCTTGCACACACATTCAAAACCTCCTAACTGGTATCTTTGTTCATGTCCATGCACTCTTACTGCCTATTCTCAATACAGGACCATGAATGATCCTGTCAAAAGTGTTGCATCATGTTACTCTTCCATTCAAAACCTTCTAGTGGTTTCTCATCTCAGAACCAAAATAAAAAATTCTTCTAATGACATATAAGATCCCATGTACTACGCATTCCCCTGCCCCACCCATCACTGTAACATCTCACTTATTACTGTTCTATAATATTGCCCTCTATCACTCTGTTCTTACCACTTATGATAAACTGTCCATATTGTATCCAGCCCCATTGGTTTCCTTGTTGTCTGAAGATACCAGCATGTTCTCACTTCAGGTCATTTCTACTTCCACTACTTGTCTGGAAACCTCTTTCCCTAGATATTTTGAGTTACTCACTTTTTTCAAGTCATTTATGATACTATCTAAAGTGGCAAATCTTGACTACAACTACTCATTATCCACATCCTCCTCTTCTTTATTTTTCTCTGTAGCACCTTCTAGCAACCATTATTCATTTATGTGCCAGTTCTGTCTCTCCCAAGTCAAGTCTATGAAGGCAAGGGTTTTTTGTTCTTGTTTTTTCACTCACTGCTTTATTATCAACTTTCAGAACAATGGCTAGCACTTAGCAGACTAGCAAGTGCTCAAAAAACATCTACTTACTAAATAAACAAAATATACTTCTTAAATTTTTTCTATGTAGAAAAGTGACAGAAATTAAAAGGCACTCAATATGTAAAACAATCTTGAAGGGAACTGTATTCTTGAGAAACATGTTGGAGAACAGCAAAAGCAACTGCATGATCTATAAACTTTTAAAAAACAGTTCATGGGGCCAGCGCTGTGGCGTATCAGGTAAAGCCGCCACCTGCAGTGCCAGCATCTCATATGGGTACCGGTTCAAGTCCCAGTTGCTCCACTTGCAATCCAGCTCTCTGCTATGGCCTGGAATATCAGCAGAAGATGGCCCAAGTGCTTGGGCCCCTGTACTGATGTGGGAGACCCAGAAGAAGCTCCTGGCTCCTGGCTTCAGATTGGCCTGGCTCTGGCCATTGTGGGGAGTGAACCCCACATATTTGGAGAGTGTACCAGCGGATGGAAGATTTCTCTCTCTGCCTCTGCCTCTCTGTGTATCTCTGCCTTTCAAATAAATAAATAAATAAATCCTAAAAAAATAGTTCAAAGTAAGTAAAGGAGTTTGCTTAATAATCAATGATATGGGAAGATACTATTTTATAAAATCCTCTCTTAGAAAACAACTTTTGCATTATTGTATAACACATGTCATCTTATATGGGCATATTAGCATATTCTTCAGAAAAATATAACATACATACTGGTAAATACGAGTAAGGCTGTATTTTCTACCTCCCTATTTCTACTGCCCAACAATTTTCTGATTGTTCAAGCCAGAGATTGTAGTCCCTAAAAGCAATATATGAAGTCTATTTCCCTAATTTTGAATGACAAGTTAACAACTACGGTTAGTACTTGCTCAGAAAAGATGAAAGGCTTTTATTCAGGTGTTTTGTTATTTTTTCATTTAAATATTCCAGATATTTTCTCTTGCAAAGAAATACATAATCCAACATAAATGTCCCATAGAATCTGTATCTAAGACAGTATACAAACTGCCTCCCACACACTCTTAGATATACTCCCTTTAAATATCAACATCAAAGAGTATGTAACATTTGGTTTAGTAAGTGGCTTACATCACAAGCATAAACTATGGGAATTACACATGGGGTCTATCTCTAGGGAAACCAAGGACCATTGAAAGGCTCTGCATTAGAAAGGAAATAAAAAAGAACATCTTCCTTTTTCTTCAAAGCAAAAACATGTAAATTCCTAGATTCTGAGACAAATTCATGGTCTCTAAACTTAGAGTTTGGAATTTTAAAACATGAACAGACTTAATTTTGTGGGATATTAAAGCTGACATTAACATGAAATGGCTCCATGATATAAATTTCCTTAATAATCCCTAAAGAATTAGATGTGAGTTCACCAAAATCTTTTAAAACCTGTTTCCAGTCTTGACACTCAAATATATTCAGTAATTTTTTAACATTAGACATGTGGCGTAACTATGAAGAAGTTAGGTAAAACAGAATTCACACTCTGGCAGGGAAGACAGACAATGAACATATTAAAGCAAATATAATATACATTGCAAATTTTAATAACTGGTGAAGGAGAAAGATCAATGTGCCTTGGGGAAATGATATGAAAATGGCTTCTGCAAATTTAGACATGTAACTGTTATTTTTTTAGTTTCTACTATCTGCTATGCATTGTTTTTGGTGCATTCAGTACAACAGAGAACAAAACAAGCAAAAATTACAGTCCTTATGAAGCCTATATTAGAGTTATTATAATAAATATCACTGACGCAGGTTAGGTTGTGATTCTGTGGTTTTAGATCTATATTCTCAGTTATAAATATAAGTATATCCTAAGCAATCACCACATAAATATTCAAAAGGAACAGATTCTTCATCATTAAATTTCTATCAATTTTGCATTTAATGTAAAATATAGGAGTGACATTTGGAAATTTTCCTTGAGTGGATCCAGAGTTAAAAAATTAAAAAATATAGTTAACAAATCTTTCAGATAATTTTGACTGGTTTATCTCCAAACCCTATGTATTTGGTTTGAGCTGAAAGCTATATTCTAAAACATCTGTATAATTTTTCTACTTTGTAAAGTAGGATTATGCCAACAAGATTCCCATATTCTAGTATCAGAGATATGTCTCAAATATTTTAGGCAACAGGAAGGGTAATGGCATATTATTTGATTTTATTACTGATAGCTTATTATTGATTTATCAAAATTGGGACAACTCACTTTAGTTTAACAGAGATAACATTTTCAAAAAAAAAATCAGTATCATTTGTCCTCAACAAGCTTCATGAAAAAGTTTACTACTTCCAATTCAATGTTATAGCAAAACTGTTCATCTATTTACAAACCTGCATTTCCACTGCCATTAACAGCTTCCTTGTCCTCATCTTCTTCCTCTTCAGGAAGAGAGCTGTCCATCCGTTCCATCTTGCTGACAGATGTAGTTCGTTTTCTTTGTGATTCTGTGTCGAACTCATTATCAAAGAGAACCTGATCAACCGGATCTGGCTGGAAAGGGCTGGGTTCCGCTGGAGGCTTGGGCGTTCCATAGAAATTTCCTTAAGTGGACAAAATAACAGCAGCTGAAAGTGCTAATGTTGAAATGGGAGTCAGAGCAACAGGACCTAGTACATGTCTCTGTTTCTTACACTAAAGGTTTTGAATATTAACCAATGATCAAAAGGAGGCCAAAACACTCCTTCTTGGGAAGGAAAGAGGTAGAAATAGGGAAAAGAGTTTCTCAAATACACTCCACCATATATTATCTAACATCTTAATAGCATTTGTAATAAGGCCAGGAAGTTAACTACATGTAAGCAGATTATTTATTCCCTACAGGGTTTGCTTTACATGGGTTCTGAGTTAGGGTCTAATTTGTGAATATAAGTTTATCTATTGGAAAAGACAGAGGAGAGAGAGAGTGTGTGTGTGTGTGTCAGAGATCTTCCATCTGCTGGTTCACTCCCCAGATGGATACAGTGACTGGGACTGGGCCAGGCTGAGGCCAGGGGCCAGGCTGAGGCCAGGAGCCAGGATTTTCATCCGGGTCTCCCAGATTGACAGCAAGGGCCAAAGCACTTGGGCCATCTTCCGCTGCCTTACCCCGATCCCTAGTAGGAGGCTGAGTTGGAAGTAGAGTAGTCAGGACTTGAACTGGAGCTCTGATTTTGGGATAGCAATTTTGCAAGTGGTGGCTTAACCCTCCAAGCCACAAGAATGATCCTGAGGATTAGTAATTTTCGCAGTAAAAATAAAATGCTCTCCAATCGAAAGAAAAAAAAAATAGAATGTCTTCTCAATTTGTCATGCAGTTCTCATTAGGCAGCCAAATGCAATGAGTAAAATCTCAACAGGCCTAGCTGTAGTAACAGTTTGTGCCCGTTGCTAGTTTTGATCTTACAACAAACATTATGTTAATGTTATGGAAAAAGAAATATGGTAAAACAGTAAAACACTCATGATCTATTTAGATTTTAAAAATCATCTTCTACTCAAACTTTTTGGCTCCTAAGAAAGTAATTATGATGCTCACTCATGTAAGGAAAATTAATGTGGTAAACAGAGATTTTTTTTCCCCTAGATAGGAAAAAAATATAACACTGAGGTAAATCTAAAAATAACATAGTTTACCTTAAATTGAGCATGCTTTGAAGGGGAAAGCATTAAGATGAAGTCTCTGGAAATTTGACTTTGAGCAATAATTGTCATTAAACATTTTGACAAATCAAACGAAAAAACTTTTCAATTACATTCTACCTCTCCCCTCTCCACCACTTCCTTAAATCCAAATCCATGTTGGAAATAGGTTACTCCTGACACACAGGAGTATGCAAAGATTTGTTTTAAAACACACAAAATTTTCTGGAAACTTACTGCCCACAAGTAAATAAAGAAAAGAACCAATCAAAACACCAGTTCACACTTCTCTGGAGCAACAGGTATAGGAATATTCCAAAAAAAGGTTTGGTTGGGAAAAAAGGATGGCCTAGGATCTCCATTTTTTTTCTGCCTAATACTCAGAAATCACATTACCAAAGAACCTGGATGTACCCTGACAAATAAAAAGCCCACTCTTCTAAGGATGGTAGTAGAATTACCAGAAACATTGGAAACATATTTTACTGTGAATTCTTAGCAATTATTATCTAACTTTAGGAAGTTTAACTTTTTTCTAAGAGAAAAACTTAAAAAAGCAGGATATTATGATTACTTTTCATAATCACTGAATAAATATTGGCAGTTTTCTTATTTAAAAAATTTAATTTTGGGCTTAGATTAAAAAGGATAATTAGTATTGCTTTTAAATAAGTTAGACCTATTTTTCTCAAATTATTTGTAAATATCAAAATTATGAATACAGTAAGGTATAAAATTCCAAGGTTCATGAATTGGAATTATGGTTTTAACAGAAAAAAATTTTTCATCTTTAATTTTTTATTTATTTATTTATTTATTTTTTTGACAGGCAGAGTGGACAGTGAGAGAGAGAAAGGAAAAATTTTTCATCTTTTAAAGCTGTTTTAGAGCTTGTTTTTATTTTCTGAAGGCTTTCTTTTTCATTTTCATAGAATTATTTACCACTAGTATTTCAGAAATATATAAAGTTATAGACATGGTAAAAAATAGTATCCAAATGTCTATTTTACTTACATAAATATATGTTAATATTGATTATTGTCATATTTCTTTCAAATCTTCCTTTTTCCCTTTTTTTCTCTTTAAGGACACACATATACAATTAAAGCCTTATTTTCCTGTCCTGAAGTTGGTTTTTATCTTTTCCCCCAATACTGTATACATCTAGGACACATGTATTTGCACCCATAAACATATATTACTGTTTTCAGAAAAAAGTCATGAAGTGGGGCCCGGCATTGTGGCATGGCAGGTTAAGTTGCCACTTCTGACACTGGCATCCCCTATCGGAGCAGTGGTTTAGTCCTTCCTATACCACTTCTGATCAAACTCCCTCACCAATGTGTCTGGGAATGCAGCAGCATATGGCCGAAGAACTTAGGCCATTGCCATCCACATGTGAGACTCATTTGGAATTCCTGGTTCTTGGCTTCCGCCTGGTAGTAGCCTGGTGGTTGCAGTCATATGAGGAGTGAATTAATGGACGGAAGCTTGCTCTTGCATGCTCTCTCACACTCTCTCTTGCTCTGACTTTCAATTAAATACATAAATCTTTTAAAAAGTTTCATAGAGTGCTGGGGGCCGGTGCTGTGGCACAGTGGGTTAAAGCCCTGACCTGAAGCACCAGCATCCCATATGGGTGCTGGTTCTAGTCCTGGCTGCTCCACTTCCAATCCGGCTCTCTGCTATGGCCTGGGAAAACAGTGGAAGATGGCCCAAGTCCTTCGGCCCCTGCACCTACATGGGAGACCTGGAAGAAGCTCCTCGCTTCAGATAGGCTGAGCTCCGGTCACTGTGGCCATTTGGTGAATGAACCAGCAGATGGAAGATCTCTCTCGTCTTTCCCTCTTTTTGTTTCTACCTCTCTCTGTAACTTGGTCAAATAAATCTTCTCTTTTTTAAAAGAAATATTAATAATGTTCGTTGTAGCTTTATTGGTGGTAATGAGGAGTTGGAGGCAATCTGGGAGACCACTAGTAGAATGGGTAAGTAAAATGCAATCAGAATCAGATTATCAATACTGTGCAACAACATGGATGAATCTAAAAAATGCAGTCGTAAATGCAAACAGTAAAATATTGAAATATGAAATATTGAACACAGTTCAGATGTAAATAACAAATATATTCACACAAGACACAACACACAATTTATAAGAACACATAAAAATAAAAGCCACATATTAAACACATCAAAATGATTATAGGAAGGAGGCTTTTTGCATAAAAGTAAAGACAAGTCAGTAGCTGTCATTTCCTCTGAGTTTTTATTTACTGGCTACTTAATCTAAAGAAGATATTCCTGTTATTTCTTTAAATCCATTGTTTTTATTCCCCTCATAACATCTCACTTAATAATAACTTTGTTTTTTGACTCTTCTCCACTAAGAGGCAGGGGATACTATCAGGGCAGTATCCCCAGGCCCTGTTATAGTAGTTAGTATATAGTAGAGACTTAATAAATGATTGTTGAATGAATGAAACAGGATCAAGTAAGTTCCTAATTGAATGAATGACTCAGGAGAGCTAAGCCTAGAAGGGCAGTTAGGTCAAACTTAGTAGGTAAAAGGAAATTATTGGAGGTTTTGCACAGGAAAGGGACATAATCAGAGCTATGCTTGAAGATCAGTGTGGTGGCAATGGGCAGGATGGATGGGACAGAGGGAAGAATTTGGAACAAACTATTCAACTGTGATAACCCAGACATGAGCTCATCAAGTGGGCCTGCAATGATGTAGTGAAAGTGAGAGGAAGAGCATTGTAAAATTGGCTACAAAAGGAAGAAATGAGTAGATCTGGTAGTTTACTAGATGTGAAATGTGAGAAAAAGGAGGGAATTAATGATTCTGCTGTTTTGAGCTCATGGTGTTGCTGAAGAGAGGAATTATAAAGAACTACTGTTTCTGGAAAGAACACAAATGCATATTTGAGTATGTTGAATTCAAGGTTATCTATTTATTGAGTCTCATCTCCAGGCACTGAAGACAATGATATAAGAAAGACAAAATCACTGTTATCATAGAGCATGTGAAATAAGCAATTAAAGTAGCATGATGAAGTGAAATAGAAAAGCATAGGGTGCAAATGGAAGTGGGTAAGCTTGCTAGCATAAAGTGTGTAAAATAAGGGGAAACACAGATCTAATTCAGAATCATCTAAAAGTTGAAACTGATCTCAAATTTCTGTTGTATTTTCTAGCATTTCCTGGTTAGAGGAAATGGAGATAACAAAAGAAAACCAATGAATCTGTTTTTGTTGTTTTATTCCCCATGCATGTTATTTTTTCTCCAAGATAGTCAAGATACTTGTGGGATTATGGATTCCCAACCACAAATAGAAAGCAATCAAGAAATACCTGTTCAGCGCACATGATGAATGTGAACTATCATATGTGCAAACTAGCCAGGCTAATTTTCATATGTTGTTCAATCAACTTAATAATAATGGAATATTCTTGTTTATTGTTATCTCAGTTTAATTAGTAATTTACAAATCTCCCAGTCAAAAGAGAATTTTCCCAAAATCTGTTAGGAAAAACAGAACAAAACAAAAAAGGTATTCTACTCATCAAATTCCCTTTGAAATAACTGCAGTTACTCAGATGATTTTCTGGGCATTGCTGTTGCTAGTATTTGGGGACATACCATCATATGTTCCACTTTCTAACAGCGCTCCACTCTCTTCCAGTGCTTTGAACTGTTCAACAGAAATGAAATTATAGTCCACCCCTGGTACTTCCCCATCCCTGGGGGCCCTTGTAGTGCCTAAGGAGGAAAAAAAAGGAAAAAAAAGTTGTAAAGTGCTTTTAAGGTTACAAAATACTCAGAGTAATAGGAAATTCAGTCTAAAAACATATGGGAGATACAGACTATTGAATATAAATTGTATATATTGTACCTGCTAGAATGAGGATCAGAAAACTTTAGTTGGTATTATATTATTAGGTAAAAGTAGGAGAATAAAGAGTAAGAATACTTTAATAAAATCTACAGATAGCCATGACACTGAAAACTACAAAACTTTAAAATAATTTTAGTGCCAAAGGAGGCTTATCTTCCCAAGGTACAACACTCAATCTTTATAAAACCTCAATTATCATTACTTAACAGCAAGAAATAGAGAAAAATCCACTAATAAGTACTTAACTTCTACCCCCACTTTATTACCATGTAATTGACAAACAAAAGTTGTATATAATTATAGTGGGCACAACACATTTTGATATGTGTATACATTATAAAAGACAGACTTCATTATTAAGTACTTATGTTATGTTTTTCTTCCCTAACATAAATGTAAACCAACAATCTAATTATTACAATACTGAAAAATAAAAAAAATTTAAGTTTTTCTATTTAACTTTAAAATGTGGACAAATATTAAATGTTTTTAGACAACAGAAAGCTTAAGAAAGACATTCACATATCACTACTTTCTTAAAGTAATTTCAAAAAATTAAGTGGTAGGCAATTTTATAAAACTGATTACAGCAACAGATCACAAAATTTCCAAATATTTAGGAACTCATACTGAAATAGAATCTTTCAGATCCAAAGTTCCAATTCAGGTTATGGTAACACTGCTACCTTTGATTTAATTTTACTAAAGAATAAATTACTTCTATGAACTAGCATTAGAAATGTCATTTCAAATGCAACAGAATACAAACACACACACACACACACACACACAGAGTAGGTTTTTAGACGGGAAGAGTCTGATATGGCAGCAAGTCCTGTATAAGCACATCTTACCAAACTGGCTTCACCACTTACATCCCTTTCCAGTAATGGTACTCTGTCAGTCACATCGGGCTCCTCCCTTTATTCCACTCCCAGTCCTCAAACCCAGTTGATTCTACTTATAACTATCTCTAGATACATCTTTTCATCTCCATTAATCATCCAGTTCATATCATCATCTGTGGCCTGTCCTGACTACACCCCTTACCCCAACTGCAGTCAGTGACCTTTCTAAAATAATCTGAACAGAAAACCAGTCTCTCTCAACTCATTAATGACTTCCCTGATTGTTGGCATGAAACCTAAATCCTATAAGACATTTAACAGGACCCTTTGCAGTCTAGCCCCTGGCTACCTTCTTGCTTCACTCGTTCCATATTCTAGGCTTTAGCCATCCCAGATTTTTTTTCCCAGTTACTTTTATATTCCTTCCACTCATTTACCTTCAAGGCCTTTGTCTTTCCCTAGACAATTTCCCACTTCCTTTCCCAGTCTTACCTCAGCTAACTCCTACTCATTTTTCAGGTCCTCACTTAGAAAGTTTCTTGAGAGAACCTTCCCAGATTCCCAGCGTAGGGTACAGCAGTATGCAGAAACTCTCTATCTGGTTCAAAGTAAAGACACCAACTTGTCACAGTGCAGGAATCTTAGTAGGTACTCAATTTACATAGTGGTCAAAAAGTGAAATTTTAAACAAATTCAATTAGCATAATGGCTAGAAAATAATTTTATTATAAATCAATTTTTAGAAAATTCAATTGCTCCTACTTCCTAGCTGTATCACATGCTATTTTATAACATAAAAATCCACAAAGATGATAACATAGTAATGCAAATGATCAGAAAAGATAAGACAACATTTTATGCAGTAACTGGACTGAATTTCTCTTTTTTTAACCACTTTTTAAAATATTTATTTATTTGTTTGAAAATCTAGCTGCTGGTTCACTCTCCAAATGGCCTCAATGGCCAGGGTCAGGCCAGGCTGAAGCCAGGAGCTTCATCTGGGTCTCCCATGTGGTTGCAGGGTCCAAGCGTTTGGATCATCCTCTGCTGCCTCTGCATGTGTACCAGCAGGGTGGAGCACCAGGATTCAAACAGGTGCCCACATGGAATGCTGGTGCCACAGATGGTGGCTTAACCTGCTATGCCACATTGCCAGTTCCTTTTAATTTTTTTTAACCATTTTCTAAAAGTGAGCATTTCTTCATGTTTCACCCAACAGATTAAAAAAAAACTAGATAATCTAAATCTTTTTTCTAAGCATAATACACTTCCATCTTCAAATTTCTGATATATTTACCAAAACTACAGTTAATTTTGTAAGTCAACAGTTTCTAGCTCTATAGCAAGTAAAAATTAACATTAGGAAATAAACTTTATGACTAAGTTATAATTTATAATTATCCATAATGGATGAAAAAATATTACAACACTTCGCACCTTTTTACCATTAAAACCTGGGACTTGCTTCCCAATTCCTTGTATCTAGACTGGATTCTGACTTGCCTTGATTTAATGGGGAAACAAGTTTAGGAGTCTACACTTCCATTTTTACCCTCTTGGTATATTCTCATCACATGGCACGGATGTCTAGGCGAGACTACTAAACGAGTTGAGAGTCCCAACCAGCAAACAGCAACAAATACCCAAACACATAAGGTCATCTTAGGCAGCTCCAGTTGAGCTATCAAAGATTGAGCCCAGCTAATTCATAGTCTTGAGAAACAACACATGATGTCAGTTTCACATTACTAAGCTTAGGTTGGTTTATTACACAGCAAAAGCAACTTGGGATATTATTCAAATAAGCTTTACTGTAAAACATAGTAACTGTATAAAACACAATCTAACAGCAAACCATATTCCAGATACACAATGAAAAGAATACCAACCCAAAGGACAGGAGGAACTGTTTTAGTCTCAGATTATCATTAACGGTACAATTTGGAGCAAGCACTTAACTTCTCTGGGCTCCATTTTCTTTCTGCAAAGTGGTGTCAAGCAAGATAGTGGCCATGATTCCTTCTATTAACAGATATGAATGTTATGTGTGATTCCAACATTTATATTTCTAAGACTTAGAAAATAAGTTCAATGTTCTTTTTACGAAGTACTATAAAAACCATATAATCCCTTACACATAAAAAGTTCTTTCCCTTCCCCAACTCCATTGTCTTCAACATTCCAGAAAACTTATCTTTATATTCTTCTGATAATCTGCATGTTTTATGTAAAGTTTTCTACATTCCCCCTTCCCTCAGTTACCATTACATTTCTCTGCTTTACATAACAATTTCTCCAAACAGTTGTTTATTTAGTCTCCAATTCCTCTCCTCTCTTGAGCTCACTGCAATGACAGCACTGCTCTAACTCCTCACTGACACAGTTTGCTGTGCTCAATAGTAGTCTCTACTTTGCTTAACTCAATGGTTAAGTCTTAGCCCTCATATGTATTACCTGCTCTATGGACAATATTTGACAGAACTGATCATTCTCCCTTTTTGGTTTCACTCTGAAATAGAAAAGTACACAAAATACAAACTTAAAGTTTAACAACTAACAGAAGCAAATCCATCCAGGTAAAGAAACAGAAAATCACCAGGACTCTAAAGCCTCTTTCTTTGTTTCTGATCATAAAGTTTCTATCCCTCCATCCCCAAAAGTAACCACCAGCGTAACATTCGTGGTGATGATTTCCTTCACTTTCTAATGGTCATAATGCATTTTTTTTTGACAGGCAGAGTGGACAGTGAGAGACAGAGAGACAGAGAGAAAGGTCTTCCTTTTGCCATTGGTTCACCCTCCAATGGCCGCAGTGGCCGGTGCGCTGCGGCCGGCGCACCGCGCTGATCCGATAGCAGGAGCCAGGTACTTATCCTGGTCTCCCATGGGGTGCAGGGCCCAAGCACTTGGGCCATCCTCCACTGCACTCCCTGGCTACAGCAGAGAGCTGGCCTGGAAGAGGGGCAACCAGGACAGAATCCGGCGCCCCGACCGGGACTAGAACGCGGTGTGCCGGCGCCGCAAGGCGCAGGATTAGCCTAGTGAGCCGCGGCGCAGGCCATAATGCATTTCTAAGCAATATAGCTTAATTTTGCATGGTGTGAATGTTCATGTGAATGGAATCATAAAAAATATATCCTCCTATGTCCATACCTTTACTTGCCATCACATTTTAAAACTTCTATGAATACATTGACTATGTAAAGGTATTTCACTGTGTATTTAATGTGCAAGTGTTTTATGAGATTAAATATTCTCAGATTTTTACTGGCTGCTATGGTTTGAGTATGATTTGTCCCCACTGACATTAATGTTGAGGCTTGGTCTCCAAGGGAACATTTAAGATGCATTTAAGATGTAATTAGGTCACGTGGCTCCACCTTTATGAAGGGATTGACGTAGTTCTTGCAAGAATGAGATTGTTATCTCCAGAGTAGGTTGTTAAAAAGTGAGCCTGGCACCTCCCCAGTGTCTTTCTGGCACATGTACTTCTCTTTTAGATGTACCTGCTTGCATTTCCTCTAACAGGAGGCCCTCTGCCAGAAGCCCAGAAGATGCTGGCACCATGCTCTTGGACTTCCACATCTGTGAGCCAAAATAAATCATTTCTTTATATATAAACTACCCAGACTCAGGTATACTGTTATAGCAACAGAAAATGGACTAAGACACTAGATTTCCTCTGCTGTGCAGTGCCCAAGATAGCCCCTCCCCCATTTATATTGAGTTGTCTTTTTAAAAAACTTAAAGTTCTTTATATTCTGGGTACTACCATTACATTATCAAACATATGTAACCAATAGCTTCTAAATTAAAAAAAAATTTTTTTTATCTTTGACAGGCAGAGTGGACAGTGAGAGAGAGAGACAGAGAGAAAGGTCTTCCTTTTGCCATTGATTCACCCTCCAATGGCCACCGCGGCTGGCGCATTGCGGCTGGCGCACCGCGCTGATCCGAAGCCAGGAGCCAGGTGCTTCTCCTGGTCTCCCATGTGGGTGCAGGGCCCAAGCACTTGG